TAGTCCCTAAATATTAATAAGTTTGTATTTTAATCACGTATTAGTAATTAGGTTAAATTATATAATTATCATAATATTTTAATACTATTATGAATTAGGATATTTAATTTGATTATTTTATGTTTTAATCATTAATTATTATTATATATATAATCAATTATCATCAAATTTATACTTTAGCATTATTATTATGCATAATTTATAATTTAATTTATATAATTATAATATAACATTATAGGACTAGTAATATTTATATTATTTAGTATTTATATTAAATTATTTGTAAATTAAAAGCAATTTTATCATTTAACGCAAAGACACTAATTAATAAATAACAATACCAATTTTGGGCGTTTTGGGGGTACTAATCCTTCCCCATACTTAACCGACTCCCGAACTCATTTTTCTGGTAAGCATACCTGAGTTGTATTATTTTAATATTATTCTTAGGAATTTTTATTAAAAATAATATGATATTTTGGTGACCAATCTCACCGAATTAAATGATTGGTGGCAACTCTACAATTTGATGTTTCATCTTATTCATGGAAGATAAGCACTTACTTTTTCGAGATTAGTTACAGCATTTGGGGTGTACTATTTGCACTCTTCGTCGTCAGGGCAGGGAAACGTCTCAACAAGGTTAACTCATCTTCCGCCTTCTTCTGTCACCTGTTGAATACCCTGTTAAATCGTTCCAGCCTCTCTGGGCTATTTTTTGTACTTGTCCCGAGAAATCTCAAATGGTTGCATCTCTGGTTTTCACCCTCTGTTGAGTCGGTTCCTTCAACAAAAGCACCTTTGGAAGCCTCAATTGAAGGGAAAAATCTGAAACTCATTTGTTTGTTTCTGGAGTCTATTATCTTTAACGAAACTCTCAAGCTCAATAATTTTTTTCTCGTCTTGTCCCTGCAACCTTTGCCAGCTCAAAAAGTCAACTTTTGGTGTGTATAGTGTAAATTTCGGTCCATTCTGAGTATTCTCTTACCATAGATGGACTTCTGAACTTTTCATATCTTGTATTATAACCCCTTTGTCCATTAATGCAAATTATTTACGTTTAACAAACACGTTTTTGGTGGATCAACACCTCTTTTGAATGATGTAAAAAAAATAAAAAAGAACAAAAATGAAAAGAGTTAGTAAAGTAAATCAAAACAATAAGGAAAAATAAAAAAAATAAAAAAAATAAATCATACCCCACATGTTTATTATTCCTACCCGGACATGATCTCTATCCCACATGTTAATTTTAAACCAGTCCTAACCGTATAAATTTATAGTTCGCATACTTCGAACAGAAAATAAAGTAGGAAATAATCTCAAAATAGCTTAGGGTTTTGAAATGAGGTTTTAGGGTGGGCTCTAATTCCCTGTAGTCTCCAGTTTAGGTTCTAAAAAGGGTACCCGAGTTCTTCTTGCTGGTGTCCCCTTGGGCTTGCTAGACTCTTAATCCTAAGCCCATTACAAGCTTATGTGGACTAAGTTAAACTCGAGAGGATACATTCTCTTATGCCTGCACGGAGAATAAATTCTCACGAAGATATAAGGTATATGAATCTTGAAGGTTACTTGCTAGGCCCGCACGGAGAATAAATTCTCACTAAGGTGTCGCTTTCACCCCACTTAAAAGGGGTTCGGAGCTCGGGTATAGAGCCTTAGATGGAAAACGTTAAAGATCTGAAATCATTGAAAAAAACTTCAGTACAACTATTTATTTGAAAAATAATCAAAGATAAATAATTGGAATAGAATAAATAAATTAAAATTTAAACTTGCAATTTTCGCTCAAAAAGAAAACCGGAAATTAATTTCTGCTTGACTCACTTACCTGTCCCCAGTGGAGTCGCCAAGCTGTCGCATTCGTCTTTCGGTTGGGCCCGGAATTGGGCATCGACTTGAATGAAATGGGTTTGAGTCACCACTGATCATTTTAAAACGATATTTAGGTGGATCGGACACCATTTTATCTGATCTGCATTTTACCAGAAACGTGTCGGGTTCGGGAGTCGATTACAGTCAAGAAAGGATTAGCACCATTGTACTGCCCTTTCGGCACCAATTAATTTGTCGGTTGTCTTAATTGCGAAAATTAAAATTAAAATTTAAAGACCTGATTCAAATTACTTACCTTCGATTGATTAAAATTACTACTAAAAAAAGGTCAAAATATATTAGATGGTAAAATAAAAGAAATATCGAATAAAAATTAATTAAATAAAAAAAATCAAAGAAGGAAAAAAATAAAAAAATGTTATATGTAAAAATGTTAAGAGAAAAACGTAATAAAAGAAGAAAATGTTAAATTTCAGAAGAAAATAATAAAATAAATAAATGAAAAATAAAAAATAAAAAGAATAATAAAATATAATAAAAAATGTTAAAAGAGAAAAAACATAATAAAAAGAAGAACAAAAATGAAATAAAAAAGTGAAAAGAAAAAAATAAAAATAAAAGTGTGTTAAATTTTAAAATAAATAAATATGAGTAAATCAGAGACCCAAATAATCAATTTAAAATAAACACAAGGACCAGAAACTAAAATAACCCATACATCACATACAGGACTAAAATGAAATAAACAAGAAACATGGATGACTAAGTAACGATTAAACCATATGCAAAGCAGTGATTAAAATGTAAACGTAATAAAATAAAAGGTCAGATTTAAAAATCATTAAACATAGCATAGTAATTAAATTAGTGACTGAAATAAAAACATAGAAAAATAAAGGTTGAAATTAAAATATCAAAAAGTTGCATCAGTATTTAATTGGAAAGATTACAAAATGAGGGGACTAAACCTGCTATTTCCCCTATTCGAAAACACAGAGAGGGGGAGGCTGAAAATGGCATTGTTCTGGCTTAATTATTTAAGCCCATTTTGACAATGCATGAGACCCAAGTCTCTCATTTTCATCCCCTTTCGTTTATAAAGAGATAGGGGGAGGTTTCTGGAAACCCTCTCTCTGAAACTCTCACCGATCCTCGGGTCAGGCGCGAATGTTACCTTGTACCACCGTCAACTGTTGCTCGTCGGGGACGAAGGGGACGAGACGACCACCAATCGATACGTCTTTCCTTCCTCAGCACAGATTTGGGGTTTTATTTTGAAGAAAACGAGTCGATGTTGACGAATCAAGGTCGAAACGATTCGGCTTTCTTACCTTCGATCTTCCTTCTGGTCACTGGAGCAACTATTGGTGGAGGCACGAAGGTAAACTATTCTTTTTTTCCTTTTTCTTTCCAATGTTCCTTTGTAGTTTTCTCTCTCGTTTCGTATTTTTTATCCCCAAAATATTATGTCCTTTCTGTAGGATTTTTCTTCTTTATTTATAGTGCCTCATAACCCTATTTTTAGGGAGTTTTATTCCGAGTAAAATGCTCGGTTTACTGTTATTTGTTTTTGCTTTGGTGTCCCACTAACACATGTTGATGGTCGAGAAAATCGGTGGTAGTTGCATGAGTGGCGGGCTTGAACAGCTCTGTGAAGGGAAGAGGCATGCATCGCTGATAAATTGGCTTGCTAGGGTTCTGGAAACCCTAGCCTTCTAGGTCGGGTCGATCTTTGATGCCAATTCGGGTTGCTGGTTCCTGGGTCTGGATCGCGGGTCATAGGCTGCTTGATGTGTAGTGGGCTTGTTGGGTTTATGTTTTATTATTAGGCCCGAGTGGGACGAAAATATGGGTCTACATTCAGGAAGCTGGAGTGAGAATTAGCAGTAACCATTTCTTTAATTTAAAACTGGAGGTATCCCTAAATAGAATGATAAATGGTAATCGAATTCCATCTGGTTGAGGCAATATTATGGAAACTAAAGTTGATGCAATAGTGTTGAGTTAATCGATCGATGGAGTTGGCCAAGAGGGGGTGAATTGGCAAATAAAAATTTCGGTGGAAGCTTTGCATAAAATTGAAAAGATTTGCACAGCGATTTAGAGTGGTTCGACTTTCTCAACCAAAGTCTACGTCCACTACCTTAGCTATCCACACTAAGGATTTTCCACAAATTCACTAATTTGTCTTTCTTTTGAGGACAAAGTGTAACCTTACAAATCCCTCAAGAATTATACCCCAAATTCTTGAGAACACTATCTTCCAAAGAGAATAATACAAATTTTACAAACTTACAAGAAAATCCTCACAAGGCAAGATATTTGCACAATTCTAGAACAAAGAAAGAACACTCAAGAATAATACAATTGAGCACAATAAGTGTTCTTGAGAGCAAAAATGAATATTGAATGAAATAGGCTTGAAAATGCTCAAACTTGAGGTTTGATGCTTTCTCTTTGATTCTCTCTTGATTCTTGTTGATTGTTGTTTCTTGTTATTGATCAATGGCTTCTAAGCTTGTTTAAATACACCTTCAAATGATTTTGAACGTTGGGGATGATTAGTGGAGTCAATAGAGTCGTTTTAGTGTGAAATCAATTAATAAAACAGCTTGGAGCGTGGGGGGAATCGGTACCCCTCATGGGGAATCGGTTCCCTAAGTGTAAATTTTAAATATTTCGACCGTTAAACAGGGGGGAATCGATACCCCTTGGGGGGAATCGGTTCCCTCCGAGCATTCTGTTTTTCTCGAAGCCAAACCATTCAGGGGGAAACGGTACCCCCTTGGGGGGAATCGGTTCCCTCTGAGAAATCTGGAATTTTTTGCTTTGAAATGGTTCGAAATATTTTGTAAAATTATTTTGAAATTATTTTAAGATTAAAACTTAATTTTACACTTGAGTAAAGATTAAAAATGATATTTGAAAGATTTGGAGTAATATTTTGATATTCGAATAATTATATCGAATATAATTAGAAAATCTTTTGTAAAATCTTAAAATTCAGTTAACTTAATTTGTTATATCGAAATATCAAAATGTTTTCAACAAATAGCTTGATCGAAACAAAATAACTTCATAATAGGTTTATCAGATTTACCATAATGCCAAAACTAGTTAGAGGAAGAGTTGATCAAATAACATAAACATTAAATTGTAATTGAGAAGGGGCCGCGCGTTCGCAGGCCCCAACTGCCACAAATAAAGACGTAAGCTCTCACACTCGGGGAGACCTTAGGCAGGTGCACCTTCTGAGTGCAATGAAAGCCACCAACCTAGGCCATGGATCTTACTGATCACCCATCGACCCCGTCCAGGTAAGTATGTTGCGAAGGCTGCCCATACTTTTTCTTTATAAGCATTGCTCAACTCCCCTCTTTGATGTCTTCCCGGTGTGGGCTTGGAGTTGTTAACAGAGTATCCGGAGGTTTTTTTTTTTTTGTGACAAATATGGGCAAACCTGGAATGACAGGTTGAGACTCGGTTTCTCCAGCAAACTAGAAATATGAATATTTTAATTTAACTTAAAATCCTCTGGCTGTGATGCACAGTTTCTATATGGTGCTCAAATTTCAAGTGGGACAAATACGGTTTTGATTTTGATGAGTTGCTGAAGCACCAAAAGTTTTTGGCCTCAGGATTTCAATCACCACCCTTCCAATCAAACCAAATTATCGATTTTGTAAACCATTTTGGTTGCAGCAGAAACACAACTTCCATAAACCGAGTGTTGTGGACATTAATATGATGCATGGCTCCTTATTTTGCATGTGCATCTAAGAATTAATAATTGCAAAGCTTACCCCAACAACATGAAATCAATGAAATCAATACCGTTTCCATGCTATAGAACAATATCATGTCTGCATTCCTTTCCCCCAAGCTTACCCCAACAATCATCCAAAGCTCTCCAAATTGAATACCAGAAGGCGAAGAAACCATGAAAACTTGCAGAATTGTCTCAACCATATTTACCCAATGACTAAAGAGCAATTGATTACACCACCAAAAATGCTGAAAACAACGCTGGATTACTCAATTTAACAGATGTGCGACATAGCACTTTCCCCCCTCAAAACTAAACTCTCCCAGCAAGTCCACGATCAGGTCATTGACAGTTTCAATCCACTTGCTCTCTAAAATTCAGCTCCTGTGTGCTTTTTTTCTTTAGTACATCATAAACAATAAATTACATGGTGAAAAATTTTAGATAAACGTTTGAAGCTTGTTACATCTATTTTATAATTTGACTTTAACTACAACTGCCTGCCCGTGCCTATCATTTAATCTATTGAATTTGAAATAACCAGTGAAAGAACTCTCCATTTGACCATTCTAAAAATATGATAGATAACTCTCGCCGTCATACCAAGGTAGAAGAGTACCAATCAGTACAGTGGGAAAACATGGCGAGATTCCAGAGCTCCCACCGTTACTACTATACGGTATAGTGTTAAAAAGGAAATACTTGACATTTGGATTGGTATGGGGGCATTCAACAAGGAATGCCCTTCCAAAATTAAGCATATGCCGCTTTAAGTGAAGAGCACACGGTATTCTTTAGTAAAAGGCGAAAGAATAGTTCATTCACTTTGTGCTCACCACACGGCTTCGTGAGACTAGACACAGCTATCAGTTGCTTTATAAACATGAGGAAAAGTTGTTAACCTGCTTTCTCAGTGCGATGTGGGATAGTGGGACTTGTCTTGTGGTAATTTCATTAGAGTGGTTCCCTCCTAATTTTGTACCAGGAAAAAGAAAACACCAACTTTTAATTTTTTGCTTTTGATTTTTTGCTACTATCTCAAAAATTAAATAACCATAAATTCTGCTCTCATAGTACTAGATATCGCAACTCTTAAACTTTTGACTACATTTATATATTTTATCAATCGATCTCCAACTGAAAGTTGAGAGTCTAAAGATTGTTCTTCTGAAATTGAAGAAGAGAGCTAAGAACCTGTAAATAAGTGATATTCTCATGAAGCTAGAACGAGAATTAGCAGCAATAATTTATTTAATTAAAAACTGGAGGTGTCCTACAAATTCTCAGGAAGGTGATATTGTGGAAAACTAGAGTTGATGCAACACCTATGGTTAGCTTGATCGAAGCAAAATAACTTGGTAGTAGGTTTATCAGAATTAAAAATTATGCTAAAACTACAAGGTCAATAAGTATAAAAGTTCAGGTTTTTTCCTTTGTTTCATTATATCTCAACTTTCCTCTGATAATTATTTCACCCATCCAATTGAAGTGACTATATTTTATCCTGGTTCAGATAAGAATCTGAAAAGATGATTTTGGTTTTGATGAGATGCTGAAGCACCGTAAGATTTTCGCCTCAGGATTTCAATCACCACCCTTCCAACCAAATCAAATTATCGATTTTGTAATCCATTTTTGTACTGCTGTTGCAGCATAAACACAACTTCCATAAACCAAGTGTTGTGGCCTGTGAATATCAGTTACCGTCAACTTATTCTTCCATTGACGTTGAAATTGACTCTGACAAGTAAAATGCAAGCAAGACCTGTGAAACAGAAACTTACTGAACCGAGTTCAGCTTCTTAATTGAGAATATCTGTCTTTGCTTTCAAATGTTCAAATCTCTCATAAAAGCAGAACGCCATTGCGAAAGCAACATTTTATTGCTTGGAAGTGCCTGTGTCTGTTTTTAAAGTTGCTTGGGTTTGGAAAATTCCAAGACTCAAACATGAGAAAAGGACTTGGCATAGGTTAGTTTGGTGAAAACACTTTTATTGCTTGGCTTGCTTTACTCGATAACATGGGCCTGCCTAGTAACCACAGAATGCCCCCTATGCAGCACTGAAGAGGAAACCAGGGATCCATTCATAGGTTTGAGATATGGTTCTGCACGCATGTGAAATTTATCCTCGGACTGAAAGATGGCAGGATGCAGTGGCATGGCAGTTCTAAAGGAAAAACTCTGGAAGCAATTACTCTAAAGCTTGCTTGCTTGGAATGTGCCCTTAGCCATGGGGTCCGGCAGGATGGGAAAGGAATAATTGTTAAACAACCTTTGGAGCTTTTCAGGGTGATCAATGGTCATTTACTATCACTTGCACAATAGAGTCGAATGTTAGGGAAATGGTAATTGGTTGTTCATAGGTTATGGTAATATGGTTTATCATTCCGATGACTTTCAATTAATTGTTAGGGAAATGGAAATTGGTTGTTGATGTTGTTTCAAAATTCAATGTTGGTTCATTAGGACCATCTAAACCAAATACCTGAAACTGTTTTTAACATAAAATATTTAAACCCCTGCAGTGTACAAAATATATTTTGTAACCAAGTTCAGAAGTTTCTTCCTCCAACAAGGTTAAAAGTAGATAAACAGGAATCAATTCTAACTCCCACTGATGAAAAGAAAGTATAATAAGTCATGTTACTCTCCAGATTCTGTTTCATTCCATTTGTCTAAAATAATATATGAAAAAGTAGAGAATGACCGACTGAAGCAACTATCCATTATACTATTCATCATATTGTCCAAGGAGTTCCCTCGATCAATTGAGATATAGTCCTTCACTCTTGGCAAATCAATCAAAGAACCCAACGCATTGTCAAATGCCCTAAAGCTAGTTAATAAGATCTGTAATATCAAAAGTTACTTAAGTATATTTAGCATCAATGTCTTAGACATAAATTCATACTACATGTGTATCATCAGCACAGATCTTAGTAGTGTAAGTTCATGCTAATATTTGATTTAACAGTTGGTGGTATCTTTTGTTAATAAAGATCACAGGCGGAATGTCAATTTCCAGTATGATACCAAATGTCAATAGTAAAAATAAATGCTACCATAAGATGAAATGAAACTGGTTCTGTGTGAGTGAAAGCATGAAAGCTATCCAGAAAGCCTACAAACTTAAACAAGTTATAATACCTAAGCAACCATCAATGATATGAGAATTTTCTTTCAATAAAATTTGATCAGTTGGAATATATAGGAATTCCATAGATCATACAACCCTAAACATCAAGTACAATCATAAGTTATATATTGTTAGATTAAAAATACTAAGGTCTCTCTTTCGAACTTGGAGAAACTTGTTAAAAGTGCCCACAAAGTGTTCTAAACAAGCAAAAGACTTGAAGATATGGGCAATATCTGTCATCCAATGTTAAGAAGCACTTTTAACAGCTAATTATTCTGGCAATATTTACAAACTAAACTAATGGTGAATGACTAATCCTCAAAGTAGCATCAGGAAGAAACCAATATTTTTTTCTTATAATCTTAAACAACATCAAACAGGCAAAGTATGATAGCACCAGCAATAACAACAAACGAAAGCTATCACAAGATTAATGATAATATCAATGTAACCAAATCCATAATTCCAGATATAACATCATTGAAAACAATATCAGAATTTGCAAATATAATGAATTTTCTAGCTCTTTTCCAAACACAAAAACCAAGTTGCATATGGAAAAGTCATTCTTGGAACTCAATCTAAAAGCAATCTAACCAAAACAGAAAGGTTATAAAACTTGATATCATCTAAGTTCTGGATTAAAAGATACAATTTTACCGGTGTCTATTCTATCCTTGAATATTAAGCAAGTTCTTGGCTTCACTCTGCTCCTCCAACAACCCTTCACTCGCATACTTACTTAAAAGTTCCATTTTCTTCCTTTCAACAACCATCCTCTCGATTTCCTTCTCATCAGGCAAGGGCACGTGCACAACGAATTCTCTTTCTTTATCTTTCCTCTCTTTCTCCTCCCTCTCCCTCCTCTCCTCTTCTACCACATCCTCCTCTTCCTCAAACAACACTTCCCTCGCCGCAGCTCCAACGCTTACCACCTCCTTCGCTCCTCTCCTTGCCTCTCGCCTAATCTCCTCCACTCTCCGCCATTCCTCCTCCGCTTCAGCCCTCATCTTTGCCTCCACTGGCCCCTCCACTCTAGCCAAAACCCCGTCCTCTTCATCCCTATACCCATAATAACTCGCATCAATCCTCTTATAAATATCATATCTAGTTCTCCTCTTTCGCAACTCCGGCGGCTTCTCAAACAACTCTCTGACTCCTGGCAACTTTTTCGCCGCTCCAAAATACCGATAACCAGGACCACGTCCGCTAGGGTTCGGAACATCCACTATGTTCCCTTCTAAATCCGTCATTTTAGGGGCGTGTTTGGCGTAATTAGAGCCACCGAGTTCAACGATACGGCGTTCCCAATGAGACTTCTCTCGGATAAGTTTGTTGATCTCGTCGTTAAGGTCTCGAAGTCGATGTTCTCCGAGGCCTTCGTTCTGAATCTCGGCGACCTTGCGGCCGATCTCCCGCATGATTTGTTGACGCCATTTATCGGCCTCGGCAAGATCACGGCACTCGGAGGCGAGGAAAGGGCGTCGTTCTTTAGGTTTCTTTTTTTCCTCTGCTTTTAGGGCTATGAATCGATTGAGCATCGACTGGGCTTTCTCTTCGTTTCGAGCCATATCTCGATTGAGGGTGTCGGAACCAAGAGGTAGACTTTCGAGAAAATTTAGCGATCTAGTGAGATTAAAAACTCTAGGAAGATTTGAAATTCAGATCAGATAAAAACCAGCCGATGGAGGGAGGAAATACAATTATTTTTTGCAGCTCGTGCAAGGCACGTGTCTGATTATTTCGATCTTTTTGTTCTTTAATGAACTGTTTTATGCGATTATACCTAGGAGTTAGGGTCAATATGTGATGAGTCGTGTAAAAAATTCGAATTAATGATTTTTATTTTATAATTTAAATTTTGTTTAATTTTTTTAGTCGAATTAAATTATAAAATTAAAGTTAAATCAAGTTATTTAAGTTTTTATTTAAATTTATTTTAAATATTTATAATATTATGATATTAATTCATTTAAATTTAAACGATTTTCTATATTTATAAACAATATATATATATATATGTTTATATTTATATATCATACAAAATTAATGGATTCAACTCAAACATAAAATTCAATCTACTAATTACTAAAAAAATTTAAAAAGTTATTCAAGTTCTATTTTATAACTCAAACTTCATTTAAATTTTTAATTCAAATCAAGTCAAATTTTTCATAATTGAGTTGAAAAAATCAATTTTTTATCTATTTTAATTATTGAACAGTTAGTTAAGTATTTAATTAGACTATGTAAATTTTTTGACAATTTATTCTCAACTTTATAGTTTTTTGTCAAGTTAATCCTTTAAACCAAAATATATCAAACAGTTTACTGTGTTATATGATAATTAGATTGATCATGTAAATATTTGGATCACGAATTAGACATACACATATATATACATACATAAAATATACAAGCAAAATATATATACACATATTTGGATCACCAATATGCTTCCCATTTATAAAGTCCATTGTCAATGGTGAAATGCCTTACTGATGAGGAGATTAAATTTCATCTCCAGAATCACACTCAAAATTCAAAAGGCCAATAAGAAGTTGAATCATAATAGACACAACAAAATTCTAAAGCTTCTTCAACACAAGAAACCAGGTCCAATTCCTTAGTAGGGGTTTAAAAGAAGAAATATAGTTTTAAAAGTGGCATCACTTCAAGCCATCAGATTATTCGGCATACAAGTCCTCAATGACAAAAAAATTGTAAGCTGCAGTCTATGCTATGATAACAACATATCATGAACACGGCAGTTGTAATGTCAAACCAGAAAAATAGGACGTTTGAGACCCTTTGCCATCAAAGAGAATCACACTACAATACAGCTGTAATTCATCATCGGTTTCATAAGCGAAGATTCTCCCTGAGCCTACAGCAGCCACAAAAGATTTTGTGTGAGGAAGATATTCATTAAAACAAGCGAGTTCATTATATGAAACCATCAAATCCCAAAATGAAGAGACACAAGAATAGCAAAGACGCATTCGGGGTTCCTAGCAATTAATGTTGAACATATATTTTCAAGATACCTTGACATCACAGACATACTTGCTAGACCAAAATATATTCTGCTCATGAACACTATTATGAGTAAGAAATGTAAGTACGGTATCTAGATTATTAATTATAAATATATTGAACAAATTTTTACCATCAGATAAAAGTAGATGTCGAAACACACACATGCAAGCACAAAATATTACATTCAAATAAATCACAAATGGAAGTCATGATGAACAACAAGATGGCAATACTAAAAAAATTCAACATGCCAAATGAAGAACTTTAAAGACCATAGACAGGAAGCTCTCATCCGAACTCAGTCAGAGCAGGAAACACTTTTTTGCACAGCATACCTTGATCACAGATATTGTTGTATTTGGCAATAGGAGAATTAGTTATCCAACAATGTAATTTTTCAAGTAAAATGCCATCATGCATTTTTAAACAACAACGTTTGTTTCAAACAAAGCTATCAAGTGCTCTTAAATAATGGAATACCTTTTTATCCAAATCACTCATAGATGGCATATAAAAAGACTAGGAATGCTACACATGCAGACTCTCTCTTTCGCAGAATGGTAGCAACTAGCAAGTAAAACACTCAATCAATTCTATCTTAAGGTTCTACCTTCAATAAATCAATTTCAAGTCCAACGATAGTGAATGGTAGTGCCATCAAAAAAGCTCTCAACGTTAAGTATGATTAAAGTGATGCATAACTGATAAAATCAAGCCAACAAAACTCACTCATCTTTGGCTTCTGAGTTCTAATTGAAATAAATAGTAAAAACTGATATAATAAAGGAAAAAACCATACCTTCCATCTCGCCTTCACCTGAGCTTCTGCTTGGCGTTACTTTTCTTAGTCGCTTCCTTAACCTTCTCAATATAGCCTTCAATAGGTGGAGTTAAAGACGCCATAAGTCGATTTGCCGGAAACGGGGTCAAATCCGGTATCATAGCCGCCTCCTTAAGTTTCTCCGGCAACGCTTCAATTGCCTCCTTTTTCATTCTCAACAAATTAGTCTCAGCAGCCTGCCTTGCCCTATGCTTCCTCATCAAAACCCGACTATACTCCTTGGCCAATCTCCGACCATCCTCCACCGTCAGCTCATATTTGGGTATCTTATCAGCATCGACAAGGCCCAATGTAATCAAATCCAGCCCCGGAGTTCCCATAATCATAGGCTCGTCAGGGACTCCCATCGCCTTTCTTCCTCCTTTCTTCAAATTCTCCATTTCCCGTTGCCGTTCTTTGCTTATTAATCCCATTTTTTCCCTTTCGGCTTCCCGGGCACGCTCTTTCGGTGTGAGATGACGGACCGGAGTGGGTGCATTGAGGCATTGTTCGTAGAGTTTTTGCTTCTCGTCGGAAACTCGGCCACCTTTAGGGAGGGAATCGTCCATGGGAGCGCCGCCTTTTCCCTTTTTAGTGGAGATTTTGGAGCGTTTTAAAGGTTGACCGGCTTTGAGCTTGGATTTGCCTTTGGCTGTTCCGCTGACGTTGAAGCGTTGGAGGAATTGGTGAGTCAGAGTTGCTAAAGGTTTTGGGTTTTTGGCGATTCGGATCATGGTGTTTCTGGGGATTTAAGTGTTTTAACAGATAAAATTAGCCAAGGAATCAAATTTCCTTTGTTATGCTTGTGATTGGAGAAATATGAAACAATTGAGGTTTAGGGTTTATCAGAAATAGTCTCTGGGTCCAGATGATGAAAATCAAATACAAAAATATATAAATTTATGTATTAAATAAATTTTCGATGTACGGCCATGGTAATACGTGTCTTCGATACGTCCGCGCGAATATTATCTTTTTAGAGAAAATTCTTAATAAACAAATGCAATACCACCAGTCGTTGCGAATCTGGAAACTGATTTGCGATACCGGAGATCGCGTTGCGAATTATCGATCGCATTGCGATTTAGTTGGCCATTTTGGCAAATCCAAAAAAATTTGGTTAAAATCGTATATTATAAGACATTTTTAGTCACTTAGGTTATTTTCTCATTTTTTAATCCTTTAAATTACATAAAATATCGTTAAACTTTAAGTCTTGTATCATTTATACTATTGAACTTTCAATTTCTCTAATTATAACACTAAAATTGGTATTAATTTCAATTATGTCACTAGACCGTTAAATTTTAATTACACGATGGCATGAACAAATATTTACGTCATTGTGATGACATGGACAAAATGATATCGTTTTGACGACAACTATTGATGCGTAAAACAATGTTGTTTTAGGCATTGAACTTTAGAAATATATCAATTTTACTACTAAACTTTTAAACATTTTCATTTTTGGCATTGCACTTTTTCGACCATCTTCGACAACCGATCACTGCTCCTCGCTATTAATCTTTCATAGCAACATCAGTTCTAAAATGTTTATATTTCACTCATATTTCCTTTTCTATGATTGATTTTTCACAAAATTCACTCAAAATCGACGAAAGTTCATTTAAAAGTTTAATGTGCTAATACCTTTATCTCTTTCATTGACAGTCCGATAAGACTAGTTTTGTGTTATGTTGTTCATCTTATTAAAATTATACTTCGCACCTTTTAGATTTTTCACACTTTTTAGATTTTCGAATAAACACACAAAATCTTTCAAATCTAAGAAAGCCCTCAAACCCTTAAAAATTATAGATATTTTTTTGGGTCAATTTTTGAGTGTGTTTCATGAAAACTCAATCCTGAGAGAAGAAAAATAAGTAAAATACGAAAGTTTTGATATCAATCTTGCCGCAAAAGAATATCAGTGACGGGCAGTGATTAGCTACCAACAATGCCAAAAAAATATATAACGTCAAAAATAGAATAATTTAATAACAAAATTGATATATACCTAAAGTTCAATGTTTAAAATGACATTGTTTTAAGCATCAATATTTAAATAATGTTGTTTTGTCAATGTCATCACATCATTTAGATTTTAATGATCTATTGACATAATTAAAGTTAAAATCAAAATTAGGTGATATAAAAAGACAAACAATAAGCTTGTTTTCCATTGTTCCATTAGTTGAGGCGTTAATACCCTATTATCCACGAGTTTCCTTATCTCTTCTATTATAGTTGCCTATAGTATCCAATAGAGTGTTTGGATACCTTTATATAAAAATCACAAACACTATTTGGATTATAGCTTTGGGACGAAGAATCTAGCGTCACCTTAATCGGTGAAGGAGAAAGATATTGATCAAATGAAAGAAAAAAAATCTAAAATGGGCACCTACAATATTTCAAGAGCTTTTCTTACTCGATGGATTTTTATGGTGGACGAGGAAGAAATTCTAACCTATAAAACTATACATGTTTTATCAAGGAAGAACTCAAGCTGGATGCTCTTTTAATTTCTGTATAATAATTAAAGTTTTGTCAATTGCAATCAATTTGAAGAAAATTATATCTTCATCACCATTTTCCCAGTGTATTAGTCTCTCTTATTTAGTATCTTTGTTTGTGGTTGTTATATGTCGAAGGGAAGCAAGACCGGATCATTTCTCAGAATAAAAAGGCAAAGCAAGGATGAGGGACTATTTTTGAAGCATGAAAGAATGTTACTAGAAAAACTTATTGCCTCATCTAATGGTAAATGTAATCCTAGCCAAGCAACAAAAGGCTTCGACACCGGTCGGGAAATCTCAAGGTACATTCATTTCGTGTTATACAAAGGTTCTCTCCATGGTCGTGAGATTTCTGTGAAAAGGTACCAGAGCTATAGCAAATGCCTCGAAACGGCTATAACTGATATTGTGATTAGCTCACAAATGAGTGCTAACAAGAATGTTCTTAAACTCGTTGGATACTGCGTAGAGACTCGAAATCCAGTGCTTGTGTATAAGTTTGGTGGTAATAGAAATCTCAAGAGATTAATGTCTGATGTTTGTGAGGGTAAACTTGAAGCAGAGCCATTACCATGGAAGTCTAGAATGAAGATTGCAATGGATATTGCTAATGCAGTTAAATATCTTCATATTGCTTTCTCTAGACCTGTTATTAATCGAGGTCTTTCGCTAAACTTGAAGCAGAGCGATTACCATGGAGGTCTTTCGTTTATGCAGTTACATAAACGAGAAGTGCTACAAAATCATCTCCTGAGCCCTTAGTGAAAAGAGAATGTTCTGATGGAGATTGAATAAATCCAAATCTGATAATAACTTGAGAAAAGCATGGGACCATTGTCTGGATGCTTGTTTCAGACCATAAACAGACTTTTTAACCTGCACACCATGTTTCCTGAATTATTCGAACTATAGCCAAGTGGCAATCTCATATATACTTCATCAAGAGTCCCAGTTAGAAATGCGTTGTTAACATCTAATTGAGGAAGATGCCAGCCATTGACAGCAGCCAAAGCAAGCAGAATTTTGAAAGATTTCATTTTAGCAACAGGAGAGAAAGTGTCAGTGTAGTCAACACCTTCAATTTGAGTGAAACCTTTAGCTACAAAACGAACCTTATACACCTATCTATCTTGCCATCATCTTTGTACTTTATTCTATAAACCCATTTGCAGTCTATCGATTGTTTTCCTTTTGTAAGCGGGACAACTGTCCAAGTCTGAAGATCATCCATAGCCTTTAATTCATCGTGCATGGCTGATCTCCATTCTGGATACTTAACTGTCTGATGATAATAGGAAGGCTCATATGAAGCAGAAACATTGCTAATAAATGATTCATAAGAAGGAGAAAGTTTAGAAGTTGAAACATAGTCTTCAATAGGGAAATCACAAGTGGAATATGTATTATTGCAGTAATAACTATTAAGGTAAGAAGGTTTTTGAATAACCCTGGTCGAGCGCCTAGAAACTCCTTCCACGCGTATAGTATTATTTTGTGCAACATGAACAACCGTATGTGAAACTTCTTGAGATGGTGCATATGTATTTGATTCATCTTGATCAACGTCATCATTAGTAACCTGACTATCACTTTCATGCTGAGTAACATCATGAACCTCATTGTCAGTCAATATATAGGAGTAATTTGAGAATTTGAAATCTGAGCATCTTAGCTATGAATTAAAGAAGAGTCAGATACAACCTTTGGCAAAGAAAAGGATTGAAAAGGATCTAGAACTGGATCAGCACTACTCAAGGAATGAAAAGGGTATATATTTTCATGAAAAACTACATTTCAAGACGCCACTATAGAATGTGTTTGAAGAGTGTAAACTTTGTATCCTTCAACCCCTAGAGCGTAGCCTTGAAATATCCCATAAAACGCTCGAGGTGCAAACTTGGCTCTGTTAGCTTTAAGGGTGGAAACAAAAAGGAAACATCCAAAGGTTTTAAAATGCGAGTAAGAGGGTGTTTTATTGAACAACATTTCATATGGAGATTTATTATTCAATACGACAGAAGGAATTTTATTAATGATATATGTAGCAGTAAGCAAGCAATCTCCCCAAAACTTTACTGGAACTTTGGACTGAAAATAAAATGCAGGAGCAACTGCCAGCAGATGCTGATGTTTCCTCTCAGCAACAGCATTCTGCTGAGGTGTTTCTACACAAGAAAACTGATGAATTATACCAAGAGAAGAAAACAAATCTGTGAACTTAAGCTCATGAGCATTATCAGATCAAAAGATCTTTAAATCAAAACCAAACTACCTTTTTATCATGGTAATGAAATTAGGAATAATTGAAGTTACTTCAGACTTGAATTGCAACAAGTCCATGTAGATCGAGTATAATCATCTACCAAGGTTAAGAAATATCGTTTGTTATCATAAGTTGCATGTTATTAAGGACCCCAAATATCACAATGAACAAGTTCAAAAGATTGAGAAGAATATGTAACTGGTGAAGGAAAAGGAAGTCTTTGTTGTTTAGCAAGAGGACAAACAAAACATGGTCCATTTTTATTCAAGGCAGGAAGATTCAATACATCTTTAAGCAAGTACACCACTCGATTACTAGGATGACCTAGTCTACTATGCCAAGAACAAAAATTGACAGTATTAACATCATTCGATTTCATGTCATTTGAAACATGGCTAACATCATTCAAGCTATCACTAGGCGATAATTGCAGCAAATATAATCCTTGATGTAGATCACCCTTCCCAATCACCTGGTAAAGGTCCTGAATTAGACAACAAACTTTGTTAAATAAAATGGTAAAATTAGAATCTTTAAACAATTCGCTAACGGCCAAAAGATTAAACTTAAATTCAGGAACGAAAAGAACATTTTTAAGAACAAATTTGGAATTCAAACGAACAGTACCAATAAAGCTAACAGGAACTATTGACTTATTAGGAAGCATAATAGAACCACTTGTAATAGGAGACAAATTTCAAAAAAAAAACGTTAGAACAACAAATGTGTCTAGAAGCTCCTGAGTCAATTATCCAATTGGTACTATTGCTAAAAGAAGGTAAACTATTAACATAAGACAAAATCTTGCCTTGCATGGAAGAATTTATGGATGTGGAAGAAAGATCAGAAATAGAAGCAGCCTGCTATTGTGTAGTGAGCATGGCAATAAGCTGTTGATATTGTTGTGTAGTTAAAGAATCAGCTCCATTGATTCTTTAACTACACAGCAATGTCAACCTTTGATTTTCTTCTTGTAAAAAGAAAAAAAAACCTTGATAATAGATGGCAGAGGATCCATCAATAAAATCTGTGCACGAACATGGCATATTGTTCATGAAGCCCCATTAAAAACTGCATCATTTGCTCTTTTTAATTATCATTTAACATCTTGCGAACACCTCCATAGGTGCATTGCAAACAAAAACAAACTGGTTTGACAGAAACCAATTCATCCCATATGATTTTAAGCTGAGTGTAATAAGTACTAACAAACATTGAACCCTGGGCTAACTCGCCAAGTTTCTTCTTGAGATGGAAGATACGAGGCCCATTCGACTGTTGAAACCTGTCTTCAAGATCTCTCCAGATCGCATCAGCAGTAGAGTGATAAAGAAAACTTGCTGCAATTTCCTTAGAAACGGAACTCAAGATCCAATAATTTACAAGATTATTAGCTCTTGTCCTAGCGTTATGCAATTTTGTTGAGGTCATAGGAGGAGCAGTAATTGACCCATTCACAAAGCCAAGCTTATCCTTAACAGATAACGCCATCAACATGGAGCGTTTCCAGCTATTATAATTGTCGTTGGTTAAGGGTTGAGTAACCAAAACCATCCTTGGATTATCGGATTGATGAAGGTAGTAAGGATTGCTACCATTATCAAAAAGATCATTTAGATCACCCATGAAGAAAAGAAACTGAAAAGAAATATTACAGAAAAGAAAACAAGAAGGAAGACTTATTTACGCGGAAGCAAGAAATATTACTTCTGATACCATATCAAACTTCCTGAAGTTTATTAAAGATGGATAAAAATCAAATACACAAGTAACCTATTTATACAAACTATTAAACTCTAACTAACTTATAAAATAACTATCTGTTATAATAGGGATAGTTGGGGACGTAGCACCTGAGGTTTTGGAATGCAAAATAAATGAAAAGGCTGATGTTTTTAGTTTTGGGATACAATTACTTGAGCTTTTGACTAGAAGACCATCTGGGGATCACAATGTGGTGGAACTGGAAGCCACGTTTAGAGAATTGGTGTTGAATCATGTCGAAAACAACCTGTTAACTGAAATTGTGGATCAAAAGCTCTTAAGTGAAGGAATCAATGGTGATGAGTTGGTGAGTTTTGCAAAGATTGCATTTTGTTGCACGCAAGAAATCCGTAGAACCGACAGATGATAACTGATGTTGCGAAACATCTAAGGCAACTTAACAAAGATTGTTCATGAATTTCTTAGCTTTATTAGCTCAGTAGCTACAATAATGGAGGATGATACTTTCAGTGGTAAACATGATGATGCTTCATTCTCTTTTCCTTTTTGGTGAAAAAGAAGGCATTGCACAGTTCCTCTTTCAAAGTGAAAATTTAATTTAGTAGAATTACTACACTGCTTCTCCTCAAGGGTTCGTTTGTTATTTGGTTGACATCAGTTATGGGTCATTAGCAACAGAGTCTCATGAATAAATTGCAGGCATATCGTCATGGCTTTGGTTGTTTCGTTTCAGATAATTCTTTAATTAAATTGGAAACTTGAATTGATACGGGGGCATTCAACAAGGAATACCCTTCTAAAAATAGGCGTATGCCGCTTGAAGTGGAGAGCACACGATATTCTTTAGTAAAAGGCGAAAGAATAGTTCGCTGCTCACTAGACGGCTCCGAGAGTTTGAAAGCCAGCTATCAGTTGCTTTATAAACATGAGGGAAAGTTATTAACTTGCTTTCCCAGTGCGATGTGGGACGTAACTATGGTAATTTCATTTGAATCACTCAATCTTGTTATTAAGAACTATGGTAATCAATGCCATTAGCGTGTCTGTTTGCCATCTTTAGCTATGATTATATGAAGAACTAAGGTCCAAAATACTCGTGCGCTCAACAACGCTTATCTCATATAAAGAAGTTACTCAGGAGTTTCAATTTGAAATTAAGATGAAATACTATGAAAATTTTAAGAATAAAACTACTTACAAATCTTGTTTGCAAAAACTTTTTCATCCAATTCCACAGTCAAACAAGAATTTGAGGTTAATTGTGAGTGTAATTTCTTTAGCACAATCAAACAATTTGACTAGCCAATTGAGCTACCTTGACTTCTTTTGGTCAAATCCTTTGATTTTTTAATATTGATTAACGAAAAAAAGGGTCTGAAAATAGTTGTTGACGGGTCAAGTGCTACTACTTTCGTCGACTGAGTATATTCTTCCATGGAGAGGATCTATCAATCTTTCAAACATTTGTTTCTATATGAACTCTGTTCTATTAAGGTTTTCAGACATTATGGCTGAATTTGTTTACAAGTTCGTTAAATTTGTTTTCTCTTTTAAACATTCTTTTGTTTATATGATAGAAGTTATCTAGAAATTAGAATCTTAGACTTGTTAAAACGTTCTTTAAACTCGACAATTTTTATTTTGAAAATATGTATATTTGAATTTTTGGAAAAAAACTGATTTTGAAGTAGGATTTAGTCACTGTCAATCATTTAAGGTTAGACATGGTCGAACATTGATAAAATCAACTGATAAAGAAAGATTATTGAAAACCTCTTTTTAGATATAATTTGCATTTAAAAACCAAAGAAATAAAATAAATTGGATTTGAAAGTTGATTATGTGTTAGATTTAATAATTAAACTTACCCTCGGCGCTCTCTCTCTTCCGCTCCTACTCACGGCCAACCCTTCTAAAATAACGCCAAATCTAAATTTTGCTTAACATAATGGAATAATTACATCCCAAGCCCTTTCCCCTTTCTTGAGATTTCCACTTCATCCCTAGGGCCTACTAATTGGGCCCCAAATCCATTTCTACAGAACCAAATCTGTACTGATTTAACCCAACACCTTAGAATTCTCCTGTCGGTACTCATCATTCGAGCATCGACTCGATGTCTTTCCCAAACTGTTACAATAATCCTTTATGAGTGCAAATTTAGTTAAATGGGTTGAACTTTATTAGATAATAAAAACCCTGATTGAGTTCTTTCGAATTTACATAGTTCAATCCATCTTTTTTAAGACAATGTTATTTTATTAGTGATGAAGTTTATTGTCTCTGTAAATATAATGTAGGTCTTAATTTTTAAAATTACGAGAGATTATTATTTTAGAGATACGTAATTATTTTTGTAATATTTGTAACTATTGAGGTTTATGTTGTAAATATGAGTTTTATAGAAATGTTTGGAGAATATTTTGGATACAACTTTTTTTAGAAATATATATATTGAGTTTTAGGATACTGGGAATTTCATGTATTTATACTCTTTATAAAGAGTGCATTATTTGTTTCTTTTATTCATGAAGATAGATAGGATCAAATCAAATAAAACCTCATCTCTTATATATGATCTACTTCATGTGCAATTCCAGTAGAAACTCTACTGATAAACACGTCCTTTTCTATATTTCTTATTTAGTATAAATTGTGTGATAAAATAAAAATATGAATTCCATTAATTATTCTTTTAAATTTGCAAATCTGGAATTATTGAAGTTTGATAAAATACTAAAATTGAGTGAATTGTAATGATTTTACAATTTAAATCTAATAAAAAATGTTGATTAATATAAATAATTTAATATAATATCTTATTTGTTCATATTATATTTCACTCATAAACTAAAAGATGATGCGTTTAAATATATTTGAATTATTATTTTTATGTAATATTATTTCAAGGTTAATATTTTTAGAACTTTTGGAGTGGTCTTAGTGGTTAAAAGAATTTCATTTCTCCCTTGATGATCTAGATTCAAATAACTTTGTATGTGTGCGTAAATTTAAATCTAGATCTTTTAAAAATATATATTTTAAAAAATACAATATTAATTGTGTTAACCGAAAGATTAACGTGACTTCCTCTCTCGTTTACATAAGGTAACAAAAAGAGGTCATTGTTTTTTTCTTTTTAAAATTAACATAACAACGCTTGTGAACCCATCAAGTGCTCTCACCGGTAAAAGAAAATATTATTCTCTCTAGAGGTATTGGATTCAAGCAACTGTATCTACTTCGACGGCTTATGGAGAAATATAGGGAAAAAATAGAGATCTTCACATGGCGTTCATTGACCTTGAGAAGGCGTATGATAGCGTTCCCCGCAATACGATCTGGAAGACCTTGGAAACGAGACGAATCCCAACTGCTTATATTCGGGCGATTCGTGATATGTACTGTCGATCTACTACATATGTCAGGACTACAGTTGGGGACACAGAGGCTTTCCCAGTAGAAATCGGACTCCATCAGGGGCGGCTCTTAGCCCTTACATCTTCGCCTTGATTATGGACGACATCTATTGTGCGACACCAGACGGTGTTCCATGGTGTATGCTTTTCGCTAACGACATTGTCCTAGTTGCTGAAACAAAAACTGAGTTGAATAGTAGACTGGATATCTGGAAGAAAGCTTTGGAAGAAAAAAGTCTAAGGATCAATATTGAAAAGACAGAGTATTTATGTTCAAACTTCAGTGGGAACCAAAACGATGAAGATGTAGACGTATGCATCGAAGGACACGTTCTCCCCTCTAAGGATTGTTTCAAGTATCTAGGGTCTATGATACATAAAGATGGGGGTGTAGATGATGATGTAACGCACCGTATAAAGGCGGGATGGCTAAAGTGGAGGGCAGCTACTGGAGTTTTGTGTGACAAGAAGGTACCTCTAAAACTTAAGGGAAAATTTTATAGAGTGGCAATAAGACCAACGCTGATGTATGGATCAGAATGTTGGGCAATCAAGAAGGATCACATAAGGAGGATGGAGGTCGCATAAATGAGAATGCTTCGATGGACATGTGGTAAGACTCTGTGGGAAATGACTCCAAACTCTGCAATTGGGATGGCCTTGGGGGTGATGTCTGTATCCGAAAAATTGAGAGAGGGAAGACTACGGTGGTTTGGGCATGTCCATAGGAGACAATAGTCGGATGCGGTCAGGAAGGTAGAGTCGATTATAGTCGACGGTGCCAGAAAGAGAGGACGACCAAGGAGGAAGTGGGTAGATTGCTTAAGATCTGATTTGAATGATTTAGCCCTTACCGAGGACATGACCTCTGATAGGAAAGTATGAAGACTTAAGACCAGGGTAGCAGAGTAGTGTGGGTCACAGCCATAGGGTGTAGCAGCTCTGCCTTCTTTTTAATGCCTTTATAGTAATTTTCTTGACTTCTACTTTTAATGTGTTTCTGTCATGGGAATTTTTGAAGGATTAGAAATAGGATAGCGGAGTATTGTTGCATTAGTTTATGTTTTAACCCATTTGACATTATTCCTTTATCGTAGCTTGCAACCACTGACTTCTGTATATCCTTCTCATGTTTCGTCTTTTAAATTTATTCGGGACTTACATTTTTTGTCTATATGCAGAGATTTGTACGCAGGGATAACTTCCAATTACAGAGGCGCATATGAAGATTGCATATGAAGACTGTTTAACTATGTATTTATTTATTTCTTTATTTATTTATACATACATTGTATTTTATCTTTATTTTTAAATTTTTCTGACTGTAGGAGATCTTCCACGGAAGCTGCTCTCAACCTGGCGTTGGGGACAGCCTACTACCATACCTCCCCTAACCCCATTACATATGGGAATAGGGTTTTGTTGTTGTTGTTGTTTTCCTTAAATGTATTGTTTCAATGTATATCATATCATCTTTAGTTCACACTTGTACCTACTATTTCGTCTTCTTTCTTTCCCCAACGTCATTATTGTTCTGGTTTTAGTACACACAAACAAATAGAATTTTAAGCTTTTAAGGCGTTGTTTGACAACGTTTCAAAAAAAAATCAATATCTGAAAGTGAATATTTTTAATAATAGAACTTTTAAAAATATATTTGATGAAAAATCATTTTAATTTTTTATAAAAATAATAAATAAACAAAGACCCACTTATTATTTAGTGAGCGTTTGAAAAGTCACATAAATATTGAAGTCGGATATAATTATATGCAATTATACCTTTATTGCATGTTTGGACAACCATTATGGTTTATAGGCTTGTTGAATTTGATGTAAATGAGCTTCCATCCACACTCTTCAATTCTTAGATGAAAAAGGTGAGAATTGTTACAATTGCACGAGTAGTTACATTCTTTAATTTTATAATTGATATTATTTTAAAATTTAAATTAATTTGACTGTATAATTATAATTTTTACTATCAAATATAACTGAAGAATTAAGATCTAATTACACCCTAACACTCAAACATGTTTAAAGAGTTAAGCTTTCTTATAATTACACTCACTCACATATTATTATGTTAGTAATTATAT